AAGCCCCTGGCCAGAGAGGCCCCTGAACTCAGGAACGACGCTTTCGGTCGAGACGTCCTCGCATTTCACTCAGTGGCCGAGAAGGAAGATATTCCCCCCGACAGGGGGTGCAATCGAAGACGAAGTGGGCGGGTATCGAGGGTGGGGGTATACAGAATGCAAGCCACGCGGGCCAGTAAGAGCGAACAGTCATAACATTATCGTTGTCGCTGTCGTTGCCGTTGTCGTTGCTGTTCTCGCTGTTAACTGGAAGCCAGGGGCGTAGTTCGATGCGCAAGATTGCTTCTGTCCAACGGGGTGCGAGCCCCTTTGAGGGGCACTTCAATTGAAAAGTACACATGGGCACCAGAAGGGGGGATCTACACATTGCGTTCTCGAGAAGCAAGAGTTTTACACAGTTGCGCTACCGAGGAACACCACATACTGATAATGGGTCTGGCGTGATGATAGCTGACGTGAAACTTGCGAGAATGATGCGGACGAGAAGTTCAGCAAGTACCTAGCCAAGCAGTGCATCCTGGCATCGTCGGCGCCTCGTTAACGCGGCAACTCATTGTACCTGGTGGGGCGCGTGTCAGGCCACCAGTTTGCCAAGTGTCGGTGGTAAGCATCAAATGCGCCGCGTACCAAGGCGTTCCCATGCTGCACAGCATAGCCGCGCAAACCATCCAGGTTCACCTCGGCGCCATTCTCCAGCATTGATCTCTTGAGCTGCTCGCACGGCGGTGGCATAGCGGACGTTGCGCATTTGGGCGCCATGACGGGGACCGTACATTTGACGGAGAGTCACTGGCGGTCTTCCGCGTTCAAGTACCGAGCAGTCTGATCCCGGAGCCAGGGTAGCTACAGTTCTTAATGATGATGACAGCCCCTCCCCCGCTTGCGTGCCCCTGTGGCCTCGAGACAGTGCCACGAGCGCTACGCCCTGGGAGACCGACCCGCCTGCGCACCCCCTATGGTGTCGAGAAGGTACCACGCCTGCTATGGCCTGGACGACCGTCGCGCAAAGCGCCCGCCTTCAGAGATCACCCTCTGCGCACCCCCCATGATGTCGAGAAGGTGTCGGGCCTGCTATGCCCTGCGAGCTTGCATCGCATAGCGGGAGCATACAGCGCATAGCAGGAGCATACAGCGCATAGCGCCCCCACCCCCAGCGCACCCCTTGTGGCGTCCAGAAAACGCCACGCCTGCCACGCCCTGCGAGCCTGCGGCGCATAGCGCCCCCACCCCTAGCGCACCCCCTGTGGCGTCGAGGAAATGCCACGCCCGCCACGCCCTGCTGGTCTGCAGCGCATAGCGCCTCCACCCCGTGCGCACCCCTTCTGGTGCCGAGCAATGCCACGCTTGCCACGCTTTCAGACCCAGGGCACGCATATAGGCCGCATTAAGTGTGAGTGTGTGTGTGTGTGCGTGTGTGTGAGAGTGTGCGTGTGCGTGTGCGCGTGCGTGTGTGTGTGTGTGTGTGTGTGTGTGTGTGTGTGTGTGTGTGTGTGTGTGTGTGTGTGTGTGTGTGTGTGTGTGTGTGTGTTCGGTGTGTGTGTGTGTGTGTGTGTGTGTTCGGTGTGTGTGTGTGTGTGGTTTCAGTGTGTGCGTGTGCGAGAGTGTGCATGCACGCGGCTGTATGTAGATGTGTGTCTCATGCACGTGCCGTGCATGTGCTGTGTGTGAGTGAGGCGAGGAAGAGGAGGAGGGGAAGAGGGAGGTATGTGTGTGTGTGGAAGGAAACGCGGGTGCGACGCGGCATGGAACAAAAACCGAAACCTCATTAAGCATGTGGGGAAAAATGACAATCGTTTTGAGAATGCGCGTTTTCATTTGCACGCGTGAGGGGGGGGACCACACCACCAGGGAGACCCCCCACTGCTCCCCGCATCTCCTCGCCCTGGCGGTGTTGGCGTCGCCTTTCCTGGCTCCTGGGGAGGAGGGAGGAGACAAGGGGGCATATCGGGGGCGTATCTCCTTCAACGGGGGGATATCTCCCTGAGCCTGCCACGCGCATGTGGCGCAGCGCCTGAAACGAGGGGAGGGGCGGGAGGAGGGAGGAGGCAAGGGGGGAGGGAGAGGGAACACGGAACACGAGAGGGACCCTCGGGACGGGGGGTAGGCGGAGCAGGAGAGAACGAGGCGGCAGGACGCTGGGCGGCGCGGGCCGCGCGGGCGGGCCCCGACCGGGGGCGGGGATCGGGCGGCCGGGCCCGGGCACGGCCGGGCTTCGAGCGGGCGGGTCGAGTAAAACGACTCGAAGATCGGGACAAAATCGGATCGGGATAGCTCGAAATCTCTGGGAATCGGCGGGTTCGGAGGATGTATTGGGCGCCGCGGCCGCTCCAGAGCGTTCCGGAACGCTCTGAGAGCGCTCCGGAACGCTTTGGAGCGATTTATCCCGATCCTAGCCCTGTTTTATCGAGCGGGAGCGTCGGGCCCGCAGGGCTCACGAGGGGAGCCTCGGGTGACAGCGCGGTTTGTCGCCGTCGTCGTCGTCGTCGTCGTCGTCGTCGTCGCTCGTCGCTCGTCGCTCGTCGCTCGTCGCCTCGTCGCTCGTCGCGTCGCGCGCGCGGGCGCGGCCGCGGTGCCGGAGCCGCACGGCGGGTGGGGCGGTTGCGCGCTCCAAGTCGTGGGCACAGCCAGGGCGAGAGCGTGAGTTCTGGGTGTCGAGGGCGCGGCGCCTCGAGGAGTTCCGAGGATGTCCCCAGGATAGAGCGCGACTTAGAACAGAGCCTCAAGGAGTATCAGGCGGGAGCCGTTGCTGTTGATGTTGCTGGCGCTGTGGAGTTCTCACTACTGGCGAATAAGTATTGTTGACCCCCTCTCTCTTTCTGGTGATCTTTGTGTGTGTGTTTTTTCCCATGAAGTGCTTCCCCCTGGGCTCGCACCTCGTTTCTTCCACACACAACAAAAAGGAAAGGCACGGGGCTCCAACTGGGCTCCTGGCCCCCGGTTTACAACAACAACAACAACAACAACAGCAACAACAACAACAACAACAGCAACAACGGTTCCCGCCTGATATTTCCTCACAATGTTTTCCCATAGCGCGCTCTCGCGCGGGATTTCCTCACAAGTCATGTACGCATGTCGTTCTCTCGTGGGGTTTCCCTCTCAATGTATTAAGACGATGCGCCCTCGGCGCTCAGGAATCATGCTCTCGCTTTGACTTTTCTTGCGACTTAGTTTGGGATTATCGCTCGAGACTTCCTCGCGATTCGTGCAGGACCCACGCTTCAGCAACCCGCCTGCTCGACCTGGTCGCCTGGGCCCGCCTTCCCGACCTGCCCGCTATTGGTCTTCCACTTGTTTTCTTCTCCTTGCCCCACTCCTGCTAATTTCTCTCGTGCTCCATTCTTCTCCCTCCCCCTTCCGCCCGTCCTCTCTTCACTTGTTTTAGGGGCTGCATTCTATGTACGTGGCAGGTACGAACGATATACCCCCAAGGGGGTACGACGATCGAAGACGACGAGGGCAGGTACCGAGAGTTCGGGGTATACGTATTGATTGGCACGTGAGCAGATAGGAGCGAACAGTCCCAAACTTAGTATTATTGTTGTTGGTGTATTTCTTTTTGGTACGGTTGGTCTTGTTGGTCTTGTTGTTATGGTTGTTGTTGCTATTATTGTTGATGCTGTAGTTCAGGGCCAGGGGCGCAGTCTGCGTCCGAAGATTGTTGCGTTTCTTTTTTTACAACACAAAAAACGTTCTGCATACACCGAGAATGCAACGCTGCAGCGCAACAGCGCAACAGCCAAGCCCGCACACTGCAGAGGAGGAGGAGGAGGAGGAGGAGGTAACCTACAGCAAACCCACGAACTCCAGAACCAAATGGGTAGCCATCGGTCGTTGAAAGTAGGTCGTCTGGGGAGTCCCGGGTTCCAATCTGCTTGAAGCGCCTTCCTTCAAGGATCGAGTGGCTTCAGCTCTTCCGTCCCCCGCAGGGGGCGGGTGGACACCCAAGTTTTTCTCGAAGCCTTCTTATTTCATGTTTCTACCTACTTCTTCCGACCGATGGGTACGGAAAGGATGGTTACAAAGACCGACAGCAGTTCTTGTTCCTTTTGGACAAGACTCGCTGTCCGCGCCGCCGCGGACGTTGTCCACTGACGATTCAAAGCCGCCCGCCCAACAGCGGCCGCTGTCGGTTTGGGAGAACAGGTGGTTGTTGGGCATCGTGCCCATGTTCTCCGTACCCAAGTGGGGCGTCCAAATGTGTCCGGGGGCTGAGCGCGCGCGTGTTTCGCCCTCCTCCCCTCCCCCCCCCCCGCCCGCCCCCCTCGCGCCCTTTTGTGGTGTCGCCCCTCGTCTTCGTTCTCCTCCCTCTCTCGCCACGGGGCTCCTCTCGGCTGGTCACACTCAGCAGCAACAGGTTCCCGGGGGCCGAGCCGTGGGAGGGCGAGCCGAGAGGGGGGGCAGGCCTGCTCGCGGAGGGCCCTCCAAGCCTGCTCGCGGAGGCCCGGCGCCTCTGGCATCATCCCCCCGCCAGGGGCCGCCGCCGAGCTGCCCCACGCCGACCTTGGCCTGCCCCGCAGCGGGGGCGTCCGAGTCTGGGCTCAGAGGGGGGCTCGGCCCTGAGAGGGCCTCCGCGGCGCGCAGCCGTGCGGCCGCGCGCTCTCGCCTCCCGGGGTCCGGGCCGCTGCGGGGCGCGGGCACGCACAGGCTCGCCCCTCGTGACGAGCTTGGCATCGCTCGGACGTGTGCAGTTTTCCTTCGGCGAGGGCCATCGAGGAGCATCCTTGATCATTTGGCGGAAAAGCCACGCACGAAACCGAAAAAAAACACAGGGAATGGACGTCCGAGCGATGGCCAGCGAGTGCTTCGTGCTCGCTGCCGGTTCACGCTTCCTTTAAGTCGGGCCTGTCCCCCTACAGGGGGATCTGGGGCGAAAAAGGAAAAATACCCCCAACATATTCCAAAGTAGTGCAACAAATGATGAAACAATTGTCGCTGGCCTATTTTTGAATATTCCTCCTGTAGAGGGATTGGCCTGTCTTTAGGCTTCCTCCTCAAAGGTATACGAGTTTGGCAAGAAGCTCGGGCAGGGCAGCTTCGGCTCCGTGTACGTGGTCTACCACCGCACCGAGCTGTCCGGGGCGAACCGCCGCGAGCGGGTGTGCAAGGCTCGGGGGGGCCCCAGCCGTTGTGGTGACCACACCGTGCGGTGGGTCAGTGGGGATGCGGGATCACCACGCGGTTTCCCTGCGGGGGTTCGGAAGCGTTCTTCGGTTTGTGGGAGTGTTCCATGCCTCGGGATGCGTCCAAGCAGCTGCGCCTCGCCGAGAGCTTTCCGGGGGTGCCCGGATCGTCCTGAACGGCCGCCGGGGATTTGAGTTGGGGTCCCGAGAAGGTGGTCAGCAAGGCGAGCGCGGAGAAGCAGGGCACGCCTCACGAGATGGTGCGCCAGGAGTTCGCCGTGCTCAAGCGGCTTGACCATCCGCACGTCCTCCGCATATTCGAGGATTTCGAGGACGGCGATAATTTCTACATCTCGAAGGAGAAAGAATTGCAGCACACAAACCTTCGGAGGCCCGCGACGGTTTCTTGGATCGGCGCTGGACCCCCCACCTTGACGTGCGGAGCGCGCCAGGGGCGACGGGGGCCCAGCGCTGATCCAAGAAGTGCACGTGGACCTCCAAAAGTCTACGCTAATGCAGTTCTTCCTTCTTCTGCACATCGTCATGGAGCCTTGCCGAGGGGGGGACCTGCAGGATGCTGTCAAGAACCCCTACACCAGAGACCCCCGCGAGTGGGAGAGGTGGGTGTGCAGGGCCATGCAGCACACGCTCGAGGCCGTGGCGTATTGCCATGCCCGTGGGGTCATCCACAAGGACCTGAAGCCCGAGAACGTCATGATGTCGAGCCCCAGGGGGGCTCCGACGTCCCAGCTGCACGTGGTCGTGGTAGACTTCGGCCTCGCCCAGATGTTCTCCCAGTCCGACGCGCGCAGCCAGCAGGTCGCCGGCACGCCGCCCTTCATGGCGCCCGAGGTGTGGCAGGGCAATTTCGGCAGGGGCTGCGACGTGTGGGCCTGCGGCGTGATGCTGTTCTTCATGCTCTCCGGCAGGTACCCCTTCATGGCGTCGCGCCTGCAGGACTTCCCCGCGGCCGTCGCGCGGGAGCCCGACTGGGGCCTCGTCTCCGGGGCGAGCTCCGGCGCGCAGTGGACCTGCAGCGCCATGCTGTGCAAGGACGAGCGCCTGCGGCCGAGCGCCTCCGACCTGCTGCGGGGGCCCTGGCTCGCCGCCGCCAGCGCCCAGGCTCGGGTGTTGCCAGACGTCGGCGGCGATCGAGAGAGGGGGGGGGGGCAATATCTATATCCATATCCAGTGCGTGTTGGACTTTCTTGAAAGGGGCGCCGCAAGGCCGAGGCGCACTGGATATGGATAACAATTCAGCCTTTGGGAGGCAGATTATAATACATATCCAGTGCGCCTCATGCTTCTTGGGAAGAGTGTCCGAAACTCCAAGACGCACTGGATGTGGATAAAGACATTGCCCGCACGAGGGGGGGGAAGTGAGCAGGGGGGGACGCGAGGAGGAGGAGGCCTCCTCGGCAGGCGGCGGGGCTCCTCCCGGAGCCCTCGCGCCCTCGGAGGAGTGATGCTTGCTGCGCCTGCGGGATGGGCCGAGGAGACTGCTCGGGAGGCCGGGGGACTGCCGAGCCTCCCGTGCAGGCCCGCCCTGTCTTCTCGCTTCGCCCCCCTGCGTTCGCCGCCCGAGAAGCGTGCCCAAAGGATGTCCGAGGAGCCCCCCGCGGCCTCCACAGGGCGCCCCTCGCGAGGCCCAGAGGGCCCATGTTGGGGGCGGCGGAGGTGGATAGACCTCCTGCCCCGACACGTCGATTGGCGAAGTGGCCGTTTTCGGTCCGCGAGACGGCGTCGCGGCCGTCAGATTTGCGGGTCCAGGCCCGGCGGTTTCGGTCCCAGGCACTTCTCACTGAAGGGAGGTTTACCAAAAGGAGGTTTGTCCACCGCCGAGGGGCGGCCCCAATGGGGCTACAGCATGACGCGAAGGGGCCGGTGGCACCCTGGGCCAGGGGGCACCTTCAGGGACCCGCGACAGGCGGGCCAGGCGCCGGTGCTGGAGTCCGTGAGGTTGGGGATCCTGCAGGCGCGTCGATGAAGAATCGGGGGAGCGTAAGACCCGGGTTTGCCAGGACTCGGGTTCGCCATCGTTTTTTGACGACCGCGGCTCGGATTTTGACGAGGAGGAGTTCCGTGGGATGTCTGCAGCGGGAGGCCTCGTCAAAGTGCAGGCTCGGCCTCGTCATCTTTGTTGACGACCTCGTCGGGGATTTCCGAGTCCCCTGTACCCGGGTCTTACGCCCCCCTGAAAGAAAGCAATGAAAGAGCATAGACTTTCGGAGGTCCGCGTGGAGTTCTCGGATCTGCGCTGGACCCCCTCGCAGCGCCGCTGGCGCCCCCCCCTGCAGGGGTGGCGGCAGCGCGGGCCTCGGAATGTCCATGGCTGTGCCGTCTGTTTTTGCTCCTCCAAGGTGGGCGAGCGCTCCGAGTTCGAGAAGTTCGTGGGGCGTCTGGTAGCCACGCAGCTGGACGCGGGGCAACTGAGGAGCGTAGCTGCTTTGATAAGCGCGTGCTGGAACGCAACTCGTACCCTGCTCTAAACTTCTCGCGTACGTGGTGGCCCAAGTTTTGGCGAACCCATCGCACCAGGAGAGCATTTTTGTCTCTGCGTGTTGAGCTCCGTGTTAACATGCTACGGGTTGCGTGTTGCGTAGGGGGGCAGCTCAGTTTCGGCTGTGCTTCAAGGGGGGAGTGAGAAGGGGCGGGCCTTCTCAGAAGGCTCGGAAGTCACGTTGGCCTTCGGAGCAGTGTTCTGAGCCTTCCCCGAAGACGCAGAAGACTTCTCAGAGGACGCCAGGGCTTCTGAGAAGCACCGCCGCCTTCTGAGACGGCCTCCTCCTCACTTCCCCCCCCCGTCGCTCGCCGCCGATCAATCCGCGGCCCCCGGGGTCCCGACCCCCTGCCCCCCCTGGCAGTTTCGCGCCCCGGATCCGGTCTGGATGGCCCCGGGGCCCGCGTATACGGCCGCCCGCGGAGGCCGACAGTGCAGAAACTCGCCCGTGTGGGGAACAAGATGCAGATCGCGGGGGATTCGGGTCGGGTGTTGCTAGAAGTGCCCCTGGCCCGAGGTGCTCCCAGCTTTCCGCTCCATGTTGGGCCGCCTGCGCCCCCGAGGGCCTCGTGAGGGGTACTCGGGAGGCCATCTGGGCCACCCCACTCCTCCTCCTCCTCCTCCTCCTCCTCCCCCTCCTCCTCCTCCTCCCCCTCCTCCTCCTTCTCCTTCTCCTCCTCCTCCTCCTGGGGCCACCCGATCGGGGGGGGCAGCCAAGCGCAGGCGAGTGAACGACGCGTTCCGCGCCCTCGACGCCGACCGCAACGGCACGCTGGGCCGCGACGAGCTGGTGCGCGGCCTGGTGCTGCTCGGGGCGGGGCAGGTCACTATCGTTGAACCTCGGGTTTGGACAGAACCCCCACCCTGACGCGTCGATTAGTGAATTGTCCGTTTTCGGTGTTCGAGAGGGCGCCGCGGCCGTCCTTTTCCAGGCTTGCGCCCGCCAAGTTTGGGCCCGAGGTCGTTTTCACTCAACCACGTTTCACTAAAGGGGGTTCTGTCCATCCCAGATAGCCGAAACCCATCCCCCCCATCCAGGCCCCCCGGCCATCTCATCCCCCCGGTTGGGGATACACCCTGCGAAATCTGACAGAAGCTGCTTGTATCCCCATCTAGGGGGGGGTCAACTGGCCAGTGAGGCCCAGGCCTCGCGAGCGGGGACAGGGTCAGGTCGGGCCTGTCCACCTACAGGGGGACTTTCGACGAAAACTTAAAAATACCCCAAGGATACCCCCAAATGGTCCAACAAATATTCAAAATATATAGTCCCCGGACTATTTGTGGAGTAGTTTTGGATCATTTTGGGGATTTTTTGTCATTCTTCGTCGAGAAGGCCCCTGTAGGGGGGACAGGCCCGACTCAAGGATACATAGGGATCGGCTCCGCGGTGCTCCGCAGGCGGAGGCCTCCCAGGCGGTGGACCACCTGGACGTGGGCAGGACGGGGGGGTGCTCCTCGCGGCTCCTCGCGGCTCGCTGCGGCTCCCAGACATTCCAGGGCGGCAGAGAGGGGGGATCGGGGCTGGACAGAACCCCCAACAGTGGCACGTCGATTAGTGAATTGTCCTTTTTCGGTTCTCGAGAGGGCGCCGCGGCCGTTATTTTCCAGGCTCGCGCCCGCCAGGTTTGGGCCTCAGGTCGTTTTCACTAAACCACGTTTTACTAAAGGGGGGTCTGTCCATCCCCGAGGGGAGATGCCTAGGGTCAATTCGGGCGTTGCCCCCCTACAGGGGGGATTTTCGACGAAAAATATAACATACCCCAAGCATAGCCTGGGGATTATTTTGTTGAATCTGTTGTTACCTTTCTGCGGTATGTTTGGTGTATCTTTTGTTTTTGTTCGAAAACCCCCCTGTAGGGGGACACGCCCGACTTAAGACTAGGGTGAAGTCGGGCGTGTCACCCTACAGGTTGAACATTCAAAACTAGTGACAACATAGTATTGAGATGACTTGTTTGACTATGTTTGAGTATGTTTGAGTATGTTCGAAAATCTTTGGGGTATTTCAAATTTGTAGTCCAGAATCCGCTTGTGGGGGGACACGCCCGACCTAAGACAAGGGGCGCGGGGTGGATATCATGGCAGGGGGCCATGATATCTGCTCAGATTTTAGGGCGCCTCTTCTCATCTCAAACCGTCCCCAGCCACCCCCTGGGCCGCGCACATGCCGCCCGCCATGATTTGCCCCCCCCTCCTCTCGGACGCCCCCCTCTTGGACGCCCACGAAGACGTGCTCGCGTCGTACAACAAAGATCCAGGCTGGAGGTGTCTCGCCCTTTTCGTCCTTTCGGGGCCCTCGCGGGGCCTCGCGAGAGACCGTGGAAAGACCATTCAGGATGAAAAGCCGGTCTCAGAGAAAGGGTCGGAACTTCAAGGGCAGGACTGACGGAAAGTTGTTCGCTATTTTTGGCCTTTGGAGGCCCTTGACGGTCCCCTGGCCGTCAAAAAGCGACTAAGGATGCATAACCTGTCCCGGGGAATGGGACCACACTTCTGGGGGCCGACGTTTTGAAAGAATCGTGACGTCGGGGGTCCGCGTCCGACTCGATTGGATTCGATGCCGATTGATTCCGATTCGATTCGATTTCGGATTCCGATTTGGACTCCAGTTTCTCGCTGGACTGACTGATTGACCGACTCCCTGTGTCAAGAAATCGTGTGGGCAAGATTGCACATTGGCGACCAGAAGTGAGAACAAAGGAGCACGACTAGACCACATACCAGCCGATTCGACGTCTCCCTACTCGGCTGCCAGTTTTCGCAGACCCGATTCCTTCCGATCGTCGATCCGACATTCCGATTCGATCCTGTGCTGCTGCAGGACGGGCCAGGTCTCGTACACCGAGTTCCTGGCCGGCGCGCTGAACCTGCGGCGGAAGAGCCCGCAGCAGCGGGACGAGCTGCTCTGGCCCCCGAAGAGGGAAAAAGCGGCATGAGCACCACTTGCCGGGCGTCCGCGCGGAGTTCTTGCAGACTGCTGTGTTTCAAAGGGTCCAGCGAGGATCCGGGTCCTCGGGCCCGCCCGCCCGCCCCCCCGGGACAAGCTGTGCTTGTCGCTTGCGCAGTGCAGACAGGGGGTTACGCAGTGCTGGCGCGCGCGCGAGGGCACACGCGGGGCGGCGCACAGCGGAGAGGCTCGGTCGGGGCTGGACCTCGGCGCTGTGTTGTTGGAGTGCGGCTGTGTTTTGTCTTTTTCGTTTTGGCAGGGAGGCACAGGAAACACAGGTGCAGCGAAACGAGCAACAGAACTAAAGCAAAACGAACAACAACGCTTAGGTCCAGCCCTGGGTTCAGTTATCGGCCGTCATCTCCCCACCTCCCGCGGATAACCCAGGTTATCGTCGAACAAACAAACGATCTCTTGGATCGGCGTTGAGGCTCCTTGGCGGCGCCTTCGGCGCCACCGATGGCGCGCTCCGCGCGCCCAGTGGAGGGAGGGGTTCATCGCAGAGCCAAGAAATCCGCGCGGACCTCCGAATGGTTATGGGCAGGCAGTTTTTCTGGAGTGGACAGAACCCCACACTGACACGTCGATTAGTGAACTGTTCGTTTTCGGTTCTCGAGAGGGTGCCGCGCCAGTCACTTTCCAGGCTTGCGCCCGAGGTCGTTTTCACTAAACCACGTTTTGCTACATTGGGGTTCTGTCCATCCCCGGGCTGTTCGGCTGGGCGTAAGAGTGACACTTCGCCGGAGCGACCTTTTGATATACCGGCCCAAGAGTGGTCCCTCGAGCACTGGCTTGCGCGCTTTGCACTGGGCCCTCCGCAGCCCCCTGAGGCCGCGCACCAGAGGTCACTCGCGGCTGGGGGAACTCGTGCGTGTATATAGTGATCGTTTCTTTATTCTTTGTTTTGCCGATCGGCGCGGGCCCTCGCCCCCCCCCTATGGAGTAGATCTTGGCTGATTCGGGGCTCCTGTTTCGAGCAGGTGGGGCCTCCCCTTAAGAGACGCACTGCTGCAAACAGTCGCACTAAGCAGAGGTCCGGAGCCAGACCCCACCCTCCTTCCCTTCCGCCCAATGTCGAGACGCCGAATAACAAAAGCGCTCGCATAGCCGAGATGTTTCTTCGTACAGGCTCGCCTGGCAGCAGTTCGGGCCCGACGCGGCGGGCCGCGTCAGCACCTCCGCCATCCAGTCCGCACTGGCCGCCCGGGGCATGACGGTGGCTGAGATGCCGAGCGCCTTCCTGCAGCAGCTGCGCAGGGGGTCGGCCGGCTCCATGAGCTTCGCGGAGTTTAAGGACCTCTTCGACCAGGACCAGACTTGCGTGCTCATGAGCTCCCTGCGCCTGGACCCGCGCTCCTGATGATCAGGAGCCTGGACTCGCGCTCATGGATCTGCGCCAGCACCCGCGCCTGGACCCACGCTCATGGACCCACGCTTGGACCTGCTTATGGGCTCCCTGCGCCTGGGCACGCGCGGCGCGGCAGGGACGAGCACCCCCGGCGCCCGTTGGGCCCGCCCCACCTGAGCACGCGCCGGCCGCGGGGGGCCGCTGGGCCGCAGGAGCCCGGCGAGGGGGCCGAAAGGGCCCGCACCCGGCGGGCGAAAAGCACGGCCGCGGGCGGGGCCGCTGCTGTCGACCCTTCGCTAATGATGATGATGATGATGATGATGATGATGATGATGATGATGATGATGATGATGATGATGATGAGGAGGAGGAGGAGGAGGAGGAGGAGGAGGAGGAGAGGAGGAGGAGAGGAGGAGGAGGCAGGAGGAGGGGGAGGAGGAAGAGGAAAAGGAGGAAAAGGAGGAGAGGAGGAGGGGAGGACGGAGGAGGAGAGGGCGGGGAGGAGGAGGAGGAGGAGAGGAGGAGGGTAGGAGGAGGAGGAGAGGAGGAGGAGGAGGAGGAGGAGGAGGAGGAGGAGGAGGAGCAGGAGGAGAGGAGGAGGAGGAGGCGAGGAAAAGGAGGAGGAAGGCGGAGGATGCGGAGGAGGAGGAGCTGGCGGGGGAGGAGGAGAGGAGGAGGAGGAGGAGGAGGAGGAGGAGGAGGAGAGGAGGAGGGGCCGGGAGGAGGGAGGAGGGAGTAGGGAGGAAGACTGAGGGAGGAGGAATGAGGGAGGAGGAATGAGGGAAGGAGGAGGAGGGAGGAGGAGGAGCTGGAGGAGGAGGAGGAGGAGGAGGCGGAGGAGGAGGAGGAGGAGGAGGCCGAGGAGGAGGAGGAGGTGGAGGAGGAGGGCGGATGAGGGCGGGGGAGGGCGGAGGAGGGCGGAGGAGGAAGAGGAGAAGGAGGAAGAGGATGGCGGAGGAGCAGGATGATGATGATGATGATGATGATGATGATGATGATGATGATGATGATGATGATGATGATGATGATGATGATGATGATGATGATGATGATGATGATGAGG